ATCTTTTCGTTTATTCAACTATTCCTTTTGCAATATGAACTTCCTACACTTATTAATATGATTTCTTTCGATCATTATGAATATTGAAATATTCTCCATTGCTTTTATTTTTTTTTTTTTTGAATGGTTTATATATATAAAAACAAAAAAACAAACTTATGAAACTTTTCTATTTTATAATTTCGTTTTTTTTTTTTTTTTTTTTTTTTTGCGGTGCCGACCTTGGTTACGTTTTGTTAATTTTTGCTCCTTTTTTTTTTTATTCTTTTAATTGCTTTCAGTTGTTTACATTTTTGTTGCTTTCGATTTCTTCTAGACTTGCGTATAAAATACAATGTTTGAATCTTTTTGATAATTATTCATATGCATGGGTTTGAGGTATGTAACAAAAACTTATGTCTAGAATTTGACTTTTGTTAGTAAAGTTCTTTTCTTGAATAAATCTTCATATGTACGTAGGTGCAATAGCACACAATGGAAAGTTTCCTTTTCTTTATATTGGAATCGAAAAAAAACAACGCGAATCTCCGTCACATCAAATTGTACTTCTCCAACATTTTTTTTTTCTTCTATTTAATTACAATTGCATTATTTGCTTAATGAAGGCAAAGTAGAGAAGACCAACAACACATACTCTTTGATATCACCTTTTTCTTTCAGAAAAAAAAGCAAAAAAATCCACAAAAACTCAACTCCATCACATTATTAACTTATTCCTCCTTAGAGAAAATGTCTATCAAAATTGAACAAAACTTCTTCGCGGACTTACGTTGTGCGATCACAACCAATTCAATCCTCGGCTCAAACTCAACTAACTCTATCTCCCCTCACTTAAATTTTAAAACGTAGACAGACTTCTCCTTTTTACTTCATTTCCCTCTTCTTCTTCCTGTTGCTCTCTCTATAACGGCTTGCCGCTACTCTCACAAGAGCAAGCATAGATCCCGCAAAATCATACGATTTTGCCTATGCTTGCAAGAGCAAAAGGAAAAAAAAAAGGAGTACCGCAAAATCATACGATTTTGCCTGTACTGCAAAAGCAAGCGAAGGTACCGCAAAATCATACGATTTTGCCTGTACTTGTAAGTAAGGAGATCAGAAAGAAAGAAAAAAAAAAAAACACATATACCGCAAGATCATGCGATTTACTTGCGG